TCTCCGTTATGGAGTTGTTCTATTTGTTTTCTCTGTTATGGAGTTGTTCTATTTAATTATTTTCTCCGTTATGGAGTTGTTCTATTTATTTGTTTTCTCTGTTATGGAGTTGTTCTATTTAATTATTTTCTCCGTTATGGAGTTGTTCTATTTGTTTTCTCTGTTATGGAGTTGTTCTATTTAATTATTTTCTCCGTTATGGAGTTGTTCTAACTAAGCTTCGCGATTGTAACACTTCTAAACAGACTCCGAGGTGATTTTTTAATGAATTCACAGTCCTGTGGAAGTAGTTGGAAAAGACCTTCCAGGAACCCCGTATTCGGGCAGTTCTCGATTTGCACGGCGGGCGTGGGGCTGAAAAACGCCTCTGAAATAAATAAAATAAATAAAACCGCGGATGGAACTAAACAATAACATAAAAACAATTACGCACATGAATTAATGTGCAGTGTTTATACTTTGTACATTCACCTTTGTACGTTGTGCAATGACGGATAGTAATTAAATGTTCATCGGTTTTAACACGAATCTGCGGATAAAGTGCTTAGCGTTAGGTGTGGAGAATATAGAAACCTATATTCGATAGATTCATTCTAACTACAGAGCTATTTTCTGGACTGACACTCACAGTGAGCCTTTTAAATACCGTTTATTTTTAAGTCTCGTACTATTTTCTTAAACCGTTTTATTTATTGGATGATAAGCATGACACTTTGAAGGTGTATTTAAAGGACTTTAACTTTTTTATTTTACATATACAGTGGTTTGCATTGCAGTCCACTTACAGGTGACTACTCAGGTAACCGCATCTTGATTGACGTGCATGAGTTGTGTAATCTATATAAAAAGCGTTACTAAAAACGTCTTATACATGACTGATTAAGAAAATGATTGAGACGTTTTTATAATTGACGTCCCCGTCAATTAATTAAAAAAAAATCTCCGTCTACCAGAAGACAACAGGCCCTCAAAAAGCTGTGTTGGAGTCATCGGGGGTACAGAGAATGACAACCCCGAGCGTTTACTAACGATGCTGGAGTATCAACAGTCCAAGTGGCACCACAATCCTTTACAATTACAGAGCAAAACGAAATCTGTTGCTAATTCCAGAGACGTA